GCATCTCGCAGTGGGTAGAGCAGGCCGAGTCGGAGGCGGGGCAGGCATTCGTGGGGGAGACGATCAGAATGTTCAAAGTGAGCGACACGTTCAGGGCGGACGACGAGATGGACGACGGGAAGCGCATGACGAAGGTGATGTTCGCCCTCAGCCCGCACTACGACATCGCGACGGCCATGAAGCAGATGAAAATCCAGCCGACGGGGGCCAAGCCTCCGATGGAGTTCAACGGGGTGCGGCTCCTCCAGGCCATGGGAGTAGCGCTGCACAAGGCGGGAGGGCACAGGCCAGTGGGGAGCGGGCCGAAGGAGGAGCTAGACAGGGTTGTCGAGCGCCAGTTGAAGGCGCTGCAGAAAAAATGATCGTGATTATAGGCAGTCGGACAGAGAGAGAAGCAGAGCTTGTTGCAGCTATGCAGTCGGACCCTATGGCAAAGATAGCTACCGACCCTGCTGCAATGACTAGACTTAGGCAAATGCAGGCTGAAGGGTCGCAGCATGCCAAGAGACTTTTAGAGAAAGCAGAGATTTTCCGTTCTAAGTTTAGTGCAGAGCTGAGAAAGCTAGAGTATGAGTAGCGTTTTCTTCTGTCGAAGGCATACTGGCTAGCCCTGGTAGGCGGGTCCTGGCCCTTGTGGCTCCGTCGACCAAGCGACGGCTGGTGGGCTGACGAGAGAAGGCAGATGGTTTTTTCGTTCTAAGTTTAGTGCAGAGCAGTGAAAGCTAGAGTACGAGTAGAGGGCGTGCTTCCTTCTGCAGATGGCCTACTGGCTGGCCCTGGTAGGCGGGTCCTGGCCCTTGTGGCTCCGTCGACCAGGAGACGGCTGGTGGGCTGACGGGAGAAGGTCGTTGCCCTGCCCAGCCTCGGCTGTGCGCTGCCAGGGAGCAGCAGCCGCCAAGGCCACCCCATCTCCGCCTCTTCCCTCCCCCTTTGAGAGTGGCCTCCCTCCTTCTTCTTCTCTCTCCCGAGTGTGCTGAATGCGGGTGCCTTCCCGCTCGACGGGGCACCCTCCCGCCTCAACGAGGCAGAGGGCCGCCCTGAGCATGCGCCCGTGCGAGTATAGATGAGACAGGGCGCGTGAGAGATCCACGCAGGGGAGCCCGAAGCGCTGTAGCAGCAGCTGGACACGCACCCCCGAGCGCAGAGCCGAGCCGCAGAGCCGAGCCTCCTCCTCCTCCTCCTCCTCCTCCTCCCCCTCCCCCTCCTCCACCTCCTCCTTCTCCTATTCCTCCGTGCTCCGTGTTTCGGGAAACTCGGGACGGCGGCTGTCTGGGTCCGGGGAGGACGATGAAAGCGGACGACGGGGGCCGGGGAGGGGGAGGCGAGCCCTACCAAACAGCGCTTACATCCTACCACACCTCAGAGTGCCAGGGAGGAATATACACGCGTAGAGGACAGACGTCAGCACTTGTAATTAACACACACACACACACACACACACACACACACACACACACACACACACACACACACACACACACACACACACACACACACACACACACACACCCACACACACACACACACACACACACACACACACACACACACACACACACACACACACACACACACACACCCACACACACACACACACACACACACACACACACACACACACACACACACACACACACACACACACACACACACACACACACACACACACACACACACACACACACACACACACACACACACTTCGCTGCCCAGGCGCACGAGACGAGCTGCGAATACGTTGGCGGCAGCTCCCGGGTGGGCATCGATCCAAGCAGCATGCTCCGTGTAACGTCGCTTGTTTTCCCGAACCCCCGGCGGGGGCCCTCGTCGCCACTGGCCAGGATCGCGTCGAAATCCTCGTCGGAATGCCTTCCGGGAGGAGTCCGCGGGCCGATGCGGGAACCCTTCCAGGACTCAGCACTCCTGCCTTGGCACGTCCACTGCTCCGAGCTCCTGCTCCTACAGGCGGCCCGGATTAGTAGGTCGACCCTGCCAGATCCAGGGTGCCCTCGTGTTCTGTGTCTTGCGACCCGTGCCTCCTGCATTTCTGTGGGAACGTGGCCCTCGGAAGGGTCTTGTGTCCTCTCGCATATCCTCTCCTTGGGATGCAACTCCTGGGGGGTCAAATTCTGATGTTGCACTGGTCCGAAGTCTGGCTTAATCCGGCTTCATCCCGCTTAATCCGGCTTGATCCCGCTAAATCCGAGGCCCACTCCGGCGCAATAGCTCCCAAATGGGGCTTCATCCTCCTCAATCTTTCCGACGAAAACCTCCCAGTACGTTGCCTCCTAACTCTCCATTCAGGTCCGATTGTGTCCCTCGTCCTGCCCCTCGCGGCCCACGGTCCGGGCAGAGACGTGCATTCAATCGGGCCTGTTCCCCTACAGGGGGATTGTCGACCAAAAAATCAGAAATACCCCAGAAATAGTCAAACAAATATCCCAGTGCGACCCTACCTAGGAGTTGGAGCGTCTAGGAAAGCAACATCCACATCTACACCGACATCTACATCGACAGCTACGCTCGGCTGTGCTGTGTTATGCTATGCTATGCTATGCTATGATATGCTGCGCTATGCTATGCTATGCTATGCTATGATATGCTGCGCTTTGCTATGCTATGAAATGCTATGGTATGCTGCGCTAGACTATGCTATGATATGGCATGAATTGATATGCTGCGCTATGCTATGCTATGTTATACTATGATATGCTGCGCTATGATATGCCATGCTAGGCTTCGCTATGCTATGCTATGCTATGCTGCGCCAGGCTATGCTATGCTATGCTATGCTGCGCTGTGCTATGCTAAGCTAAGCTACGTTATGCTATGATATGACGCGCTATGCTATGTTATGATATGCTATGCTGCGCTATGATATGCTGCTCCATGCTATGCTGCGCTATGATATGGCATGCTATGTTATGATATGGTATGGTATGCTATGCTATGATATGATATGCGAACGCTGCGCTACACTATGCTATGATATGATATGCTATGATATGCGATGCGATGCTATGCTATGCTATGCTAATGCTGCTATGCTATGCTATGCTAATGTTAAGCTAAGCTGAGCTAAGCTAAGCTAGCCTGAGCTAGGCTAGGCTAGGCTAGGCTAAGCTAGGCTAGGCTAGGCTAAGCTAAGCTAAGCCAAGTTAAGCTACGCTAAATTAAGATGAGATAAGCAAAGCTAAGCTAAGGGGACGTAGCTGGGGGAACCGCGGGGCAGATCCTGAGGGAGCCGCCCGGGGCGAGGCCCACTGCCCGGCTCCTTTAACATAGAGAGTAAGAACCTGTCTAGGCAGAGCCCAGGTAGGGAATAAGCTAAGCTAAGATGAGATAAGCAACGCTAAGCTAAGGGGACGTAATTGGGGGAACCGCGGGGCGGATGCCGGGAGAACCGCCCAGGGCGATTAGCACTGCCCGGCCCTTTAAGCACACAGGGTAAGAACCCTTCAAGGCAGAGCCTAGGTAGGGAATAATCCAAAAATAGTCCGGGGGATTATTTTTTGACCTTTTTGAAATATTTTGGGGGTATTTTTCATTTTTCGCCGAGAATCCCCTTGTAGGGGGACAGGCCCGACTTCAGACGTGCAGCGGGTCGCTCCGCACTGCCCGTGGCAGTGCGGTCCGCCCGCTCGGAGCCCCCGGGCCTCCGCGGGCGCGGAGCGGCGCGAGGCAGGGCCTCCCCGCCCGCGGGGGCGCCTTGGCTCCTGGAGGGCCTACACGCTTACTCACCACCTACCAAACCACCCCAACCCAACCCGAAGGCCTCAATTTGCCATCCATTTCCAGTGGGGGGGGGTCGGGGAACATCGAAAAAACACATGTGGAGCCCATACCCCCCCCAACCCGAAATTCGGGTCTTCGGGTTGGGTTGGGGTGGTCTGGTAGGTAGTCACTTACGTCGGGCCCGTCCCCCTGCAGGGGGACTACAGTCGGGGCACCGAGGAAGGAACACTTTTCATTGGGGAGGGGCTCGGTGTTCCTCAGTTCTTTTGCAATTCGCCTTGGGTTTTGCTTGGGGTTTCGATGGGGAATCGAAGTTAATCTTATGGGAAAAAGAGGCCTCGTTCCTTATTTAGGGTTCCTTAGGTCGACGCCCCTTGTGGGGCGCAAGCAGGAGCAGGAGGGAGGAGGAAGGAACGGCGGAGGAAGCGAGAGGAGAGAAGGATGGAAGAAGAGAGACGAGGAGGAAGAGGATGACCGAGCAGGAGAATGAAAGTGGAGCAGTATAATGAAAGTGGAGGGTACTCTAGCAGGAGGAGAATGAGGACGAGAAGGAGGAGGAGGAGGACGAGAAGGATAAGGAGGAGTAGGAGGAGGAGAAGGAAATGGGATCAAGGTACATCAAGCAGGATGAAAGGTAGGATCTGGCTTCTCCTCCCGCTCCTCCCTCCTCCCCCTAATACTGTTGAGTGCTTCTGTTGCAGTTGACGCCGCCGACGTCGCCGCCGAGGAGGAGGGGGAGGAGAAGTAGGAGGAGGATGACCAGGAGCAGGAGGAGGAGGAGGAGGAGGACGAGAGTGAGAATTCTCTTTGGTATGTCGGTTGGTGGATCCTAAAGGTTGACGGCCCCGCGTTTAGGATCATCTTGATCATCATAATTGTCATCATCTTATCATCTTTATCATTATGCTGAGATCTCCGGGAAAACGTTTACTATCCCCCCTGGACCCCGAACTGTATCATCCCCAGGGGGTTATTACCGGGAGCTCAGGGATATTCTGCTTGCACCGCATGGCTTCCTCTGCCGGGATCGTCTTGCCTCCCCGTGCCCTCCCTTTCCTTGCTGGCCAGGGTCGCTCCTGCTCCCTCCTCCTCCCTCGCCCTCCTCCCTCCCCCTCTCCTCCTCGCCCTCCCTCCTCCCCCCTCCCCCTCCGCTTCCCCCCTCCTCCCTCCTCGCTGCTGCTCCTCCTCGCCCCCTCGCCCCCCCCCCCCTCCTCCAGAGCCGCGAGGCCTGCCCCATGGCGGCCCCCGCCGCCCCCCCCGCCGAGGACGAGTCCCTCCGCGCCGAGACCTTCGTCATCCTCTTCAACCGCGTCGCCGACATGCACAACGAGAAGATCTTCCGCGTGCGCTTCGAGGGGGAGGCCCCTCCCGGGAGGAGGAGGAGGAGGAGGAGGAGGAGGAGGAGGAGGAGGAGGAGGAGGGGGAGGATGAGGAGGAGGAGGAGGGGATGGGGGAGAGAGGAGGAGGAGGAGGCGGAGGAGGAGGAGGAGGAGGAGGGGGGAGAGGGGGAGGAGGAGGGGAGGAGGAGGAGGGAAGGAGGAGGAGAGGAGGAGAGGAGGCGGAGGAGGGCGAGGAGGGGAGGAGGAGGGGGAGAGAGGCGGAGGGGAGGGTGAGGAGGAGGAGGGGGAGGAGGAGGGAGGAGGAGGAGGAGGAGGAGGGGAGGCCCGCGGGGGCGGACTGCAGGAGGGGGCTTATTATCGGCACGCAGGGCGGCGGGCCCGAGAGTCTTCCCGCAGTCGGCGCGCGCTCCGTCGCCGACTCTCGGGCGGCACCGGCTGCCCCTGCTCGGGGATCTGGCGCCCACTTTCCCCTCCTCCTCCTCCTCCTCCTCCTCCTCCTCCTCCTCCTCCTCCTCCTCCTCCTCTCCTCCTCCTTCCTCCTCCTCCTCCTCCTCCTCCTCCTCCTCCTCCTCCTCCTCCTCCTCCTCCTCCTCCCTCCTCCCTCCTCCCTCCTCCCTCCTGGCCGACGGGAGGGCGGCGCCGCCGCCGAAGGCCGCCCGAGAGGCCGCCCGAGAGGCCGCCGGTGGCCGCCGGGGGCACCCGCCATCCGTGGATCTGGCGCCCACGCGCCAGATCCTCAGAGACCCGAATCATCAGGGGTAACTCGGGTCAGGGCTAGCTCGGGTTCGTTGTTCGGGAATCCGAACCCGACTTCCCCCGGACCCGAGTTACCCCGGATAATTCGGGCGTCCAGAGACCCAAATCATCAGGGGTATCTCGGGTCAGGGCTAACTCGGGTTCCTTTTTCGGGAATCCGAACCCGACTTACCCCGGACCCGAGTTACCCCGGATAACTCGGGCGCCCAAGATCCACGGATCCTTCATCCACGTCGGCGTGTGCCCGAGGAGGGTCGGGGGAACATAAGAAGAAAAGTAATACTCAGAGTCATAATACATAAGTGAATGATAGTATGTCAGAAGAGGCCACGGCCAGCCGCTTCCACGCTCTCCAGCCCCGGCCAACTCTCCCCCCCCAGTTCTTCCGGCGTTGGCGACCTCGTCCCAGCTGTTTCGGGCTCGTGGCAGCCCGTGCCTGTTTCTCCAGCCCTGGCCGCTTCCACTTCACGGAACTTCCAGCTCCCATCTTGTTCCCAGAGATCCGATGTCGTGATTGTTTTGATGCGCGGGCCCCTGAAGCCTCGACCCACTCCCCAGGACCAGCTTTTCATCCCGAATCGGTTTTTGACGGTCCCGAGGCCCGGCGAGGGCCCCCAGGGGCCGAAATTGGCGAAACACCGCCGTCGTGATTCTTCTCAATACGTTGGATCTCTGTGATTCTGAGAGGAAGGCCCTGCTCGGGAGAACGGGGGCGCAGGCTAGAGGCTCCTGGGCGGCCTCTGGCCATTCTTGGGACCTCTCGGCGCAGAGGCCTCCGGGGAGCTCCAGAGACCTCCGGGCACCTCTCCGGAGGCCCAGGAGGGGGGCGGCCGACGAGGCAGGGGGAGGCCCTGCGCAGGAGGAGGCGGAGGAGGAGACCACCCTGGCTCGTCTGCTCTGCTCTCTCTCTCTCTCTCTCTTTCTGTCCATCTCTCCTCCCTCGCTTGTCTGCCACGTGTGTCGTCGCATGTCGCTTCCTGCCTTGAAGCATGTACCTCCCAGCAGCCGGGGGCTCCTGGAGCGAATGCTCCAGGGGTCGCCTGGCTCCTAGCTCGATCAGCCCCCCCAGGGTTATGTCGGGCGTGTCCCCCTACAGGGGGATTTTCGACGAAAAATGAAAAATACCCTAGAATACCCCAAGAAGGTCAAGAAATATTCAAAAAATAATCCCCAGACTATTTTTGGATTGTCTTTTGATTATCTTCGGGGTATTTTTCATTTTTCGTCGAAAATCCCCCTGTAGGGGGGCAGGCACGACTTAACCCCAGGGCCGACCAGCCCCCCGGGAGGGGAGGGCTGCATCCGACGGACTATCATCGTTGGCGCGCCGGCGACGCCAGCAAAGGCGTTCGAGGTTGAATTCTTCGACGCGGAAGCACCGATGGGCACGGTAACAGGAGGAGGGGGAGGAGGAGGAGGAGGAGGAGGAGGAGGAGGAGGAGGAGGAGGAGGAGGAAGAGGAGGAGGAGGAGGAGGAGGAGGAGGAGGTCGAGGTCGAGGAGGAGGAGGAGGAGGAGGAGGAGGAGGTGGATGAGGAGGAGGTGGATGAGCAGGAGGAGGAGGAGCCCGCCGACGGGGGTCAACCTCGCCTCGTCGTCGCGCCGCGACGGGGGTCGGAGCGCCTTCGGCGCGCGGTGGCTGCCCGCGACGGGAGTCGATGAGGGGCTGTCGGCGGGGGTGACGCCCCCACGACGCTTATTAAGAAACTCAGAGTATGTAGTTCAAGCGCTCCTCTCGCTTGCACTCGGTGTGGCACTTGCAAAGGCGCACCACAAACACCGGTCGCTGTGCAGGCGGCGGGTTTTTCAGATTCCCTGCGCGGCCTGGCGCGAGTGGCTGTAGTAAAGCTGGTTAACGCCTTTGATGGGTGGATTATGGCTCGGCAGAAGAGCCGGACGGATCACGTTGAGCCGTTCGCCCAGCGGCTGGTTTCCAGCATCGTCAGGAGATATGCTTGGTATACCTGGGTAGGTCTGCAATCTTTACGGTGAAGCTTCGTGCGCGGTGATTGTGACGCATGCACGCGCAAATCGTGTTCCGATGTGGGCCATGCCATTTACGCTGGTTGTAAATTGTTCTCGTCGCGCAGGATGGTGGGGCGATGTGTTTGCTTTCTTCTCGCCGTTCACGGAGCCATTCTTCACATATGAGGATGTTGTTTCTTCATTGGTTTGTGTCTCAATGTGTTGAGCCAGCTTTTTGGAGCTCCAGTTCTATGGTCAGAAGAACTTGAAACGACGGTGAGCGCCAGGGGCGCAGGTCGGGTCATCACGTATTACTACGTGTCGCGTGGTTTCTTGTTCTGAGCGGGAGGCACCGACTGTCACTGGCACCGCCACTGTGTCTTTCCTACTCCTACTCGTACTACATCCTGCCGCAACAGCATTTTCGCGTTCGTGTTCAGACCACGGTTCGTATCATGAGTTTACCAGTTGCAGGTCTGCTTGTGCGGTGCTCCCTGTTTGTCTTACGACTTTTTGATTTTCAATGGGGTCGTGCTTGCCGTAGTGCTTAGCGTGGGGGAAAATGCCATCCATTAGTTCTGCCTCGTGCCCTCCATTTGGCGTCTTTACGTGTCGGTTTTTGGCAGCCGGGATGATCATCAGCGGGGCTGGATCCCCCCCTCATCCGACCCAAGGTGGGCAGCTTGAGGAATCGCCTTGGGTACGCCACCTACTTCCCGTTCGTGCAGCCAGAGCAGTCCCACGCGCGGCTCGACTTTGCCTACCACGACCAAAGGCTGGCGGCCGCGGTTATCGTCGTCGTCGTCGTCGTTGCCGTCGCCTTGTCGTCGTCGTCGTCGTCATCCTCGTCGTCGTCGTCTTCGTTGTCGTCGTCGTCGCCGCCGCCGTCGCCGTCGCCGTCGCCGTTGCCGTCGCCTTCGTCGTCGTTGTCGTCGTCGTCGTCGTTTTCGCTGTCGTTGTCGTCGTCGCCATCGCTGTTGCCGCCGTCAACCGTCGCCATCGTCGTCGTTACAACCAGAGGCTTGCGGCCCACTTCCTTGTCTACCTCCATTTTCGGGAGAGAATCACGAACATCCAGAAGCCGTCCTACGTCGTGGATGGCGTGCAGCGTGAGGAGCTCAAGAAGGGGATCCCGAAGACTTGGGAGACCTTCAGCCGCATGCCCGAGTCGGGCATCTTCACCTGCTCGTACAAGTGCGCCGAGAAGCACCGGAACTTCAAGCTCCGCAAGGAGTTTTTGAACAGGTATGGCGGGTGGCACGCGTCGATATCCTCCGCCGACGTGATGTGGTGGGTGTCCCTTGCGGACGTCATCATCGTCACAACCATCCCAACCTCTACTGGGACAGGGTGAGGCGGCTATCCCAGCATACTCACCCTCGTGGAGATGGGTGCAGTCAAACTCTAGGGAGACGGCGCCCATCCCCACCGAGGACGGGTGCGTCGGCCCGCGGGACCAAAGTTTCCCCGATGAAGGTGGGGATGGCTCTTCCTGTCCAGAGGACGCGCCAGAGCCCGTGGTTCACTTCATCGAGTTTCTCAACGTGAACTTCGACAACATCCACGTGCCCCTAAGGCCAGGGATCCGAAACAGGTCGTGGCACCCATCAGTCCCCTTGCCGCCCCTCGCTCCCCCTGGCCCGCCCTGCCCGCCCTCCTCCCCGCTCCTCCCTTGCCGGAGGAGGGCGAGAGGGGGGGACAACAGGAAGCGACGGCCGTAACTCAGACGCGAGAAGCATGCCGATACGGCTGCCAGTCCCTCGTTTTCGCCGTTTTGGGCCTGCCGGGGGTCCCTCGTCGCAGCGGCTGGGTTCGGCTCGGAGTGCTGGTCAGGACGCATTCTGCTAAGAGGTAGCCGTATCAGTATCTTCATGTTGCCCGGCAACTAGAATCCCCCACGAGGGACATGGACTGCCTCGCGCAAGATGGATCGCTCAGCGCCGGAGGCCTAAGAGACCCTCGCAAGCAGGAAGACCAGGGGATCAGGAGAAGCAGGGCAATGATGATGGTCGTGGTGGTGACAATGATGATGCTGATGCTGATGATGATAACGCTGATGCTGATGCTGATGATGATGCTGCTGATGATGATGCTACTGATGCTGATGATGATGTTGATGCTGCGGATGGTGATGGCGATGATGACGATGATGCTGATGATTATGCTGATGCTGATGCTGCTGCTGATGATTATGATGATTAGGAT